ATATAAAATTTTAAAGTAAAATTTTGTTATTTTTTTTTATGATCGAGATGTCTAGACTAACTTATGTGTATCTCAATTAATCTATTAGAATTCTAAAATTATTGACAGAATAAAAATTATAATGACTACCTCCATTAACAAAAATGATAAGTAAAATTTTGCTTTAGCTTGACATATACATGACAATGGCTACTAGTGTAAGTTTGTAATTGATAAAAATTGTCGAAAAAGCTCCAAGAATTTGTTTTAGGCCCGTTTAACACTACTCATAATTCAAGCACATTGGGCTTACAAGCCCAATCACACTATGGCAAGTCTTACTGGTCCAATCTGTACATAAACACACATTACCCGAACCTAACCATTTATTGTAACACTAATATAATAATGCCCTTTGTCTGACTGTACTCTCACCCATCCTTTTTTGTTAACTTTACTTTAAATATAAAATAAATCAAATTTCTTCTTCTACAATTCTCTTTTCTCCCATAATAATGATAATAACAATAAAATAATAAATAGAAGTTCCATTCATTCATGTGGTGAAACATTTTGGATGAGATGTATTGAAGATTGTTGTGTGTGATTTTGTCATAAGAGCTCGCAAGTAGATAGTTCAACCCAAGATCAAGCTCGACCCAAAATTAGTTCAATTTAGGAATAAGCTCAATCCAGATGAAGCTCGTCACAACGATCAATCCAAACAGTTGTTCAACGAAATCAAAGATAAATCTCCAATCTTGGATATTTCAGAAGGGACAAGATTAACAACATTAATAATACAATCTAAGCGTACGATCCGAAGATCACGGGATTGCAAATCAACTCTGATTGCAATTCATGACTTATCTCTCTCCATTAATTAAAACTTGTATAAAAACTTCCTCAAACAATGAAAGAGGGGTTACATATCTTGAATACCAAAACTGTAAAAATGATAAAATATTATCATATAAAAAGAGATCTAATAGATTAGAGAATATATGATTTTATAATTATTTTATAAAAAAAGGAGTTAGAAATCTTAGTGGTGACGAAATAATTTTATTTTTAAGTGTTGAAACATTTTTGTGAAAGTGATGTAGATTTTTAATTAATCGTGTATTAATGGAGATTTTGATTAACTTTTTGTTAATTTGGATTAAAGGATAAAATATGTGCTTAAAATACTCAAAGATAATCTAATGTTGATATAAATAAACGAAGACTAACAACCCTTTATGAGATGATTCCATCATGTTGTTTTTTTTATTTTTTATGAGATAATCAAATGAAACAATGTTTGCTCGTAACTATATATGTGTTTATTTATCTCGCATTGTTTATTTATTCTGTGTTGCGTTAATTTTTAATAAAGTTTATATGCTTAGTATGATTTATATTTAATAAAAAATATTTTAAAAATTACGTGACATATTTTTTTCATAACTAACACATAAATCATATGATAAGCCCCTTCCGCGCAGATTTTTTCTATAAAATTTGTAATTGTATAGTTTTTAGGTGCCATATTGTTCAGTATTTACTATTTAGGTGATGTTTGTTTTTTTAGGTGGGTCTCGTAAATGGAACATGGATCTCTCGATCCCTCCGACATGCAAATAGAGTATGTTTGCTAATATGTAAGTTCTGCAATCAACGAGTGACTAATGCTTTCACCTGGGGACAGTTCAGTCGATAGAATGAGTTCCCATTCCTGCTATTTCCTTTAGAATGAGTGGCAAGAGTTTCCTAGAGGGTAAGGTTCATTCCTAAGAATGCTAATGGAAGACTAGCTATCGAGTCAATGAATTGAGCTAGACCGACTTTAAATGGACTTAGACCCATAGCGCTAGATATTCAATTTTTTTTTTATTTATTTATTTGAAAACTAAATGAATTTAAGTGTTGAAAATAAAGGTGAAAAAGTAACCCGTCTGGCTCGACCCGACCCGCGGCGGGTTACTAACTTTGGCGGGTCGGTCCTAACCCGCCCGCCAACAAAGGCAGACTGGGTTAGGCCCACCATTTTTGAGGAAATGGCTGACCCAGCCCGGTTTGGTCTGGCCCGCCAACCCTAACCCGCCGGGTTAGGCGGCGTTCCGGGCCGGGTTAGCCCGATTTTTTTATTTATTTTGTTTTTTTTATTAAACTTTTCAAATAAAAAATTAACAATTTATAAATGAATCAATTATAAATGTAATTTTTTTTAATTAACTTTTCAAATATTAATAATTCAATTCAATTAATTTTTTTTTGTTAACATTTCAAATATTAATTCAATTTTAATACAATAAAATTGTAATATAAGAAAAATAAGACTTATTTATTTATCAAAAAATAAAATAAGAAATTATAACAATTATTGCCTAATTAAAAACCTCACCAAAAAACACCAATGGGAGAAAAACTTGGTAAAAAAAAAAAGAGTGCAATAATTGACAATTAATTTACAAATTACGTTTTACAAAACAACTAATTTCGGAGTGGTTCACTAGGACCTCTTTCATTGACAATTATTCATTCAATTGATAAAACTTTAGCATAAGAATGAATTATATTTTATACAGAGCTGAAATTTGAGAATAAGACTTCAGTATTTAATTTTTTTTATTTTTCGTACCATCAAAATATAATAACAATGTGTCAAATATTATGAAGTTTTATACATTTAATATTTATAATTTAGAAATATAGTTTAATATTATTGTGTAAATTATTTGTAAGAGTTCAATCTAATAGTTTAATTAAAAGAACTAAAAAAATGGAGAAACTTGAAAAAAATAATTAATTTTTTAATTTTTTAAATTTTTTTTGGGCCCGGCGGGTTGGCTATTGCAAAAAAAGCAACCCGCCGGATTGGCAGGTTGCCATCTAGCAACCTGGCCCGCCTGGGGGTTGTTGGCTGGTTGGGTTCAACCCAGCCCGCCATATTGGCGGTCCGGTTGAGCTCTCTTCATTGCGGGCCAAGTTAGGGTTGACCTGCCTAACCCAACCCATTTGTTCCACCTCTAGTTGAAAATGTGTTTATTTGTTTTTTTAATTCTCTAATTATACTGTTGTATTGTTTATTTTTATTGGTGTTTTGACAGTATGTTCTTATATGAAGTTAATTTTATATTTTGTATGCATGATAATTATGTTATTACAAATTATAAAAATCAAAATAAAATAGAATATAAAAATTATTGACAACTATATTATTACATTGTGTTCAAGCTAGTCTCGCAATTGTTTATGAACATTTGATCATTGTTCAAGTAAGTTGATTGCATTTGAGGGTTGGTTTTGATTGTGTAACTATATAACAAAGAAGCGAAGATATGACATAAAAGTTTTGATAAAAATGAAATTGTATAAATTTAATAGGATATAATTGATAAAAAAAATGTTATTAATTCAAATAAAAACAAAAAAAAACTTGGCTTTTTGATAAAAAACACAACCTAAAATAAATCAAATAAAATTAGACTTATTCAAACTCAAAAACCAAAAAACAAACACAGTACTAGTCTTCTGAAAATTGTTTTAGACACACGTTATCTTATGAGCCGCCTAGATGGGCCGTATAATAAATACATAAACCAGGCCCAACACGTAAACCGCCGAATAAAATAATTATGGCCCGCCTATCACTATACAGTAATCTTATGAGCCGGGCCTAGATGGGCCGTAATCATAAATACATAAACCAGCTCATAATGCAAACTGCCGGATAAAAAATTCTGACCCGCCCATCATCAACCCTAACCTAGACCCCCGTGTTCTCTAATAAAACCCTCGTTGTCTCTCTCTTAAAACCCTAGAAACCCTTCTCCGGCCTTGAACGCAGCAGATAAAAAGGAAAGCCAAGCAACCGAGTTGCAGTCCCAGTTGTGTTCCAACCATGTTAGTGTTGTTCGAAACTCCTGCGGGTTTTGCCCTTTTCAAAGTATTGGAGGAGGGAAGCTCTCAAAAGTTGAGGTACTCATCCTTCACCTTCATTATGATCATATAAATTTTTATTCTGTGTTATTTTACCTCGGCTTCCACTCAAAGTTTCACCTCTGTTAAGACAACTGATTTCTGTGAAGGTTTTGCTTTTTGTAGCAAATAATGGGATTTTGAAAGTTTGAGCATTTGTTTTATACTGGCCAGTTGCATTTCTTGTTGTTAAGAATGGGGACAAAGTGTTTTGTTTTTAGATTTTTATATGAGAGCTTAAGGTGCGTTTTTTTTTTTTTTTTTTCTTTTTTTCCTGATGGTGATTTAACTCGTGTTGCGGGCTTGTGCCAAAGTTTAACAGCCCGGAGTCAGCCAGAAAGGTGTATCTTTAGTCTCTCACTCTGTGTTTCTGAAGTTGCTCTTCTTCTAGTGTTGCACGCCATAATCTTTGTGGTGCATATAACTTTATAATTTTTGTCATGGACCTGTTATTATTATTTTTTTTCCTTTGTAAGTATTCAAATTCCCTTATCTGATGATGCAATGTTAAGCGTCAAATGAGAAATAAATTTAAAACAGAAGCATTTTTATACGTGTGGTATTGCTGAAGTTTAAGATGTGTTTAGTTTATGATCTAACAGTGTTTTTTTTTTTTTTTTTTTTTTAAACCAACGATAGCTAGTGAAGCTGAAGGCATTTTCTAAGTTCGAAAATACATCAGAAGCTTTGCAAGCAGCGACCTGTATATTGATAGCAAACCCAGCAAAGATCTTCGGAAGTTCTTGCGTGCCCATTGTGATGGTGAGACATTAGGTGTGGCTGATTCCAGCTTGGCAATGCAATCAAAAAAACTGGTTTGTATATATTCTAACTATTTAAAAGATGGGTGATAATTTGTTTGCTTTAGCTGCTTGCTTTTCATTTATGTGAAGTTGGAGCGGTTATTGTTATGTAGAAAATAGAATGCGTTCACAACAATACCGTGATGGAGTTGATGAGAGGCGTAAGGAGTCAGTTGACCGAACTCATTCTGGTCTAGCTGTTCAAGATCTGCAACCAATGAGCTTGGGTTTGTCTCATAGTTTATCTAGATACAACTCAAGTTCAGTGCTGACAAGGTACTTTTATATACTAAAGTTGGTGGTTATTTGAAATTTTTTACCAATTGTTAATTTAAATGGTTTATCCAACGAAATTGATCTTGGTTGATCATAAATCTGCTTATTTATTGTCAATAGAAATCTTGGGATGTAAAAATAAAGGGATTCAGATGTCTTGAATGTCCAAAATGTATATAAGATCTAATTGGGTCTGTGCCCATAGTCCTGTATTAAAAGAATAATTATTTCTACTCTTTGGCAAAGGTATTTTAGTCTGTTGCCTAATTGCCATTGGCCCTTGTAGCAATTGGTAGCTCTGCATCTTTAAGAGAGAGAGAGGTCTCAGGATTGATCCCTTTTGGTTGGGGATGGGAGAGGGGTAGCGAATTCCCCGTTCCTGTCATGTAGGAGTGTCTTTGTTAAGTCTTGTTTATATTTTTATACATTCATCTGATGTTTCCTTTCTATGCCAATTGAATGCCTCCTGTATCAACGCTGAAAAGTTGATATCCTTTATGCTCTCGTGGGTTTTTGGATTCTTGATTTGGAAATTATAGTTTGGCTCCAAGATTATCAGTTAGAAAATAGGATTGTTGAACCAAAAGTGAAGTTTGTTTTTGTTTTTGCTTTATCATTAAGCAATGGGTTTTTTGTTCTCCTAAACATGATTTTTGAGACATTATTTCTGGCTGATATAAGTTTAGGAGCATCTTACGATATATATGCGATACTCGTTTATTCTCTCTCTCTCTCTCTCTTTTAAATGATATCTGAGGTGGTGGTCAAATTGTTATTTTTTTCTTCTTGTTTTAGGTGGATACAATGATCATTCAGGCTATTGGTTTGCTTGATGATCTTGATAAAGAGCTTAATACATATGCCATGAGAGTTCGGGAATGGTATGGTTGGCATTTTCCCCGAGCTTGCTAAATTATTCAGGACAATATCCAATATGCCAAGGCAGTGAAGATGATGGGTAACCGTACTAATGCTGCAAAGCTTGATTTTTCTGAGGTAAAGTTGTGATGGATTGACAAAGTAGAATTTAATATTGCATCATATGTCACCATTAGGATGATGTTGACATTTAAATTTTTTTTTTTTTGGCTAAACACTGAGATGATGGAATCACTTCCTTTTTTTCTGAAATTTACAGATATTACCTGAAGAAATTGAGACAGAATTGAAAGAGGCAGCTATGATTTCTATGGGAACTGAAGTTAGTGATCTTGATTTGATAAATATTAAAGAGCTATGTGATCAGGTTTTGTCGCTTGCTGAGTACAGAGCTCAGTTATATGATTATCTAAAAAGCAGAATGAACACAGTTGCACCAAATTTGACTGCACTTGTTGGAGAGCTTGTTGGTGCTCGTCTGATTGCCCATGGAGGCAGCTTGTTGAATCTTGCGAAGCAGCCTGGTAGCACTGTTCAGATTCTTGGTGCAGAAAAGGCTCTCTTCAGAGCTCTGAAGACTAAGCATGCGACTCCCAAGTATGGGCTAATCTACCACGCATCCTTGATTGGTCAGGCGGCTCCAAAGCATAAGGGAAAAATTTCTCGGTCACTTGCTGCAAAAACTGCTTTGGCAATTCGATGTGATGCTCTTGGAGATGGTGAAGATAACTCTATGGGACTTGAGAACCGAGCCAAGGTAATTTGCACTTTGTCTTTCATTGTTGCTTTCTTGCTGCTATGGAAGAATTTTCTTACCCATGACTATTTGTAGCTGGAAGCACGGTTAAGGAATCTTGAAGGGAAAGAATTGGGTCGTGCTGCTGGGTCAGCTAAAGGAAAGCCTAAGATTGAAGTTTATGATAAAGACCGGAAGAAGGGACCTGGGGCGATGATAACTTCTGCAAAGGTATGTCTTTAATCTCTTATATTGGCTTTTCAGTTTTTGCCCCTTTACTGCAGGTTAATTCCATTGTTCTCCTTCTTGTAGACATATAACCCTTCAGCAGATTCCATTCTTGGTTTGATGGCAAATGCTGAAGAAAAACCAGTTGAGGAGGTTGATGTTGGTGAAGAGAAGAAGAAGAAGAAAAAGAAGAAGAGTGAGGAGAATGGCAATGCTGAAGCAGAAGGTGAAGAGTCAGTAAAAAAAGAAAAGAAGAAGAAGAAAAAGCAGGCATCTGAGGATGACGGTGTAAACGATGAAGTAGGAGAGAAAAAGAAAAAGAAGAGAAAGCATTCTGAAGAAAATGAAGAAGAGTCAGAAGTGGCAAGTAAGAAGGAGAAGAAGAAGAAGAAGAAGAAAAGTGAGGATTGATACGTTTCTGAAGAGGAGTTGTGGCAACTGGGAACCCTACAATTTTGGAAGAAAACGCAACAACTTTCGTAATTCCATATGTAAAATTTGGTTTCTTTATAATTTTAAATCAATTTTTCAACGTAGTCCTTTTAGTTTTCTTTTTTTGTAGTGTATTTTGCCAAGTACTAATGCATAAGGTTTGGTTGGAAGCATTTAGGGAGGACTTATATTATTGCAATCATATTTTGCAGTTCGCTTATATGTGTGTTGTTTATTTAGCCTGTGAATAGATTAATTCCCCACCATTTCATTTCTTTCAGTAACATTTGGCAAGTTTAGAGAGGTAGGTTGCTTACCAACTTTAATGGGTATCTATTATGAGTGAGCATCTTTAATGGTGTTCCTTATTTTGAAAAGTATCATTTATATAAATAAAGAGTATTTTCATAAATTTTTAAATATAAAGAACACAATTTTTATTTAAATTTAATAGATTTTTTAAATTTAATGAAGATGTTTTTTATTTTTAAGAAAGAGATTTAATAGGAGAGAGAATTAATAAATAAAAGGCATAAGAATTTGTAGTTTATTAATTAAAATTATGATAGAGAGTGAAATTTAATTTTCTAAATGTGAAGAATCAAACTCACTTTCTAATTTATATTTTAAAGATAAAGAGTTTGTTGAACCATTGTTTTTATAGATAGACTCTTTATAATAAAAAGTTTAGGTCATATAAAGAGTCATTTGGAGATGTTCTAATTAAAGAGTCTATTGGATTTGAATAAAAATTGTGTTCTTTATATTTAAAAATGAATGAAGATACTCTTTATTTATAAGAAAGATTCTCTTCAAAATAAATAGTACTATTGGAGATGTTCTAAACTTTTTATCTTCATTAATTTTTAAATATAAAGAATACCATTTTTATTCAAATCCAATAAACTTTTTAAATTTAATGAAGATGCTCTTTATTTTCAAGAAATATACTTAATGGGAGAGAGAAAAAATAAATAAAATACATAGAAAGTTGTAATTTATTAATTAAAATTAGGATAGAGAGTGAAATTTGACTCTCTAAATGTGGAGAGTCAAACTCACTCTTTAATTTATATTTTAAAGATAAAGTGTCTGTTGGACTCTTGTTTTTATGGATGGACTCTTTATAATAAAGAGTTTAAGTAATATAAAGAGTCCCTTAAAGATGCTCTTATCCATAAAAATAAGAGTCTAATAGACTCTTTATTCTTTAAATATAAATTAAAGAGTGAGATTGACTCTCTATATTTAGAGAGTCAAATTTCACTCTCTATCCTAATTTTAAATAATAAATTGTAAGTTGTTATGCATTTTATTTATGATTTTTCTCTCATATTAAGTTTCTTTTTGAAAAAATATATTATTTCTCCTAAAATTTAAAGAGTCTATTGGATTTGAATAAAAATTTTGTTCTTTATATTTAAAAATCAATGAAGATGTTTTTTACTTATATAAAATATGCTCTTTAAAATAAAGAACACCAAGATGCTCTGAGCATCTACAGGGATTTGTTTTTCATTAATGCAGCAGATTGTTTTCAACCTTAACTGGCGATGGAAAGTTGGAAACTAAGGGTCCGTTTGGTTCATTATTTTGATACTTTTTAGAATAATATTTTGAAAAAAGTTAAATTAGATGAGTATTATGATGTAGAATTTGTAAACTAACAAAAATACTCTCTATGTTTATTTATTTACTAAACACCCTTATAATAAAATATTAAAAGTTAACAAAAACACCCCCAACCCACCTATTAAATATAGACAGTCGGCCATCACCGTCAGAGGGTAGCCGAAGTCGCCGTATCGGCGCATGATCGATTGGATTCGGCTAGATCTACGGTGGATCTGTGTAACACCCCCCTCCAGCTGGGTACCCTCTAATATTCCATTAGGATGGAATATTAGAGAATTCACGCCTGGAAGGTTGTGTAGTTTAAATCGTAAATCCTGGTTACAAACATGTATTATATGAAAATAAATAAATAAAAACGTCTCCTCTCATTTACATTACTTTCTTAACCAACCTATCAAGACATGACTATATATGAAAAATATGGTTTAAAGAAAACAACATCATCAATTGTTTAATAGCGGAAGCAAATATAAAATATCTACCATAATTTATAAGCAAAACATATTTACTATTTCATAAAACTTAGATTATAAACATTAAATTATATACTTTAAATTCAAAAGCAACATCCTTATATAACATCATAAGTTTATTTAGAACAAAAACATGCATGCCCCCAAGCCACCTTGACCGTCGCTCGCCGTTACCGCTTTAATCATTACCTGCAAAACATGGAAACTAGGGAAATGAGTGCTAATCACTCAGTAAATGTATCAATCATTTAACCCTATGTAACATTCTTAAAAATTAGGAAGCATCTTATTTACTTGTACATGAACCAAACATTAATAACATAAAAGTAATAGAACATAGCATATTCAATCCATATCATAATGCATAATACAATTCATGCAATGTTTTCCTTTAATGTTCATGAATAATGCATATCAATGCCATGCATGTATAAATAATTTTTTCTTTGAAAACCTTTTTACTGTCTGCTGATCGGATTAAGCTAAGGCATGGATTACGGAACCTTTGGCCAATGAGCTAACCTTAACTTATAACACAGTCTCCATGGTCATGCACGCTATGGATTGTTCATTTCTTTTGGTCTAGACATGTGCATGAGTGAGCTCAGGTTCCCCATAACATGCCAACATCTTCCATAAAATTTACAAATCATTTTCCTTCACAAAAATGCATGTCTATGTACCTTGGAAGCATTTTGTTCAAACTTGGGATCAAGTCCCCCTTTTTCATCATTAATGTACTTGACATGCTTTATTCTTAAAAAAACATACACTTTCCATATATGAACATATCATTTCATCATGACCATTTTGTGGATGCATAACAAATTCATAGAACATATCATACTTAGGCTTATTTATGCATACACAAGCTCATAATTAGGTAATACATAACATATTACACATAACCTCCATGGTCATTCATTACATCAACTATATATGCTCATACAATCATTAAATAATCATAAAGATCACTATTCAAACATACTTCAAAACGCTTTAAGCATCATTTCCATACTTGGAATCAATCATAGATTATTAGGCTAGAAGGTAAATTAAGAAATTAGAAGCACTTTTGAGGTAGTCATTCTACATAGGTCAGATTCAAGAAGGCATAACTTGAGTTATACAGATCGGATTGATATGATCCTAGTCTCGTTTTAAAGCTTAGAGATAGGGCTACAAATTTTGTGTTTAGGTCTCAACCCAGTTCAATTGGTAAGATGCCCAAAAATCACTCATAAAGTCACGATTATGACAGGGCAACCATGGTGACATGCCTATTTTAGGGCTTTTCCTTACCTATTTACCTCCACTTACTTCCTAACCTTTCCTAACCATTCTCCCTTGTGAAAACATGTTAAATGATCAATAATAACCTCCCTTGTAATATGTTAAAAACTCATGTCACGACTAATTCCATTGATTGTCATCAAACTTTAATGTTTTTATAATTCACATATAAATCTATCAATTGTAGCAGCAAACCAAATTCAATTGCTATTGTGTGACAATAATTAAGGTTCCCTAATACTAACCCTATAAACCTAATTTTTATTTCCTATTAAAGGGAGGTTTCCCTTACCTTATGTCAAGAAACCACACTCCTTTGCAAATTTCCTCCTCCTTATCTCCAATTGACCCTTTTCCTAACATAATTTATAAGAAAACTTTAATAACTTGAAATACATAATATTTATATAAGATAAGGAGTTGAACTTTACCTCTTAATATCCTTAATAAAAGAAGAAATATAAGACACTTGAGAGATTGCAACTAAGAGACTTGAAATTTTAATGGAGTAGTGAAGAAATTATGAAAGATTGTAAAAAACTTGAAGAAGATAAAGAAAATTGGTAGAAGGCATGTGTTGGCCGACTCTTACCAGCTAATATCTTTTTTTTTTTTTTCTTTGTTTTTGCAAAAGAATTATTCATTTGACATTTGTCTTTTGCATTTAATGTCCTATAACATTATTTCCCTTTTTGCCCTCAACAATTATTTTTTAATTACTCCTTAATCCTTCATCATCTTTATCTTGTCAATCCAACAAAATATCATTATTCTTTTGCCACTTTACCCCTAAGGCATGTGCATGGTAGTTAACTTAACACATAAAAAAGAAAAGACTATTTTACCCTTGGATGCATCGGTGGGGTTTACAATCTGGCATTTTCTACGACCAAAGATCTAGCCATTGACAGCTAGATCTGGCAGCATTTGGTCATCAACAACGGTCAAAGATACGACCGCTGTTGATGGTTTGGTTGTCGTTGACGACTGGCTACGGCCAAAGATCTGGCCTTTTCTAACCAGATCCACTGTGGATTTGGCCGGAAAAGGTTAGATCGGCGCACTACTGGCCATATTCAGTTGGTAGTGTGCCATTATACCAGATTCTGGTCAGCTTCCGACAGTGGTGACCGAAATTGGTAAATGCGGGTTGTTAGGGTGTTTTTACAATTTCTAAAAAAAAATTTGGGGGTGTTTAGTTAAGTTAACAAATTTAGGGGAGTTTGAAAGAAATTAAATAATATAGAATAATATTTTGAGAATAAGTCAATTTTACTGTTTAACTTTATTAGGAAAACTTATAATGCTATTTTGAAGAGTGAAACAAACGGGGCCTAACTATTTATTCATATTTTTCCTTCTTCTCCTCAGAATAACCTAAGCCTCTGTAAACTTGTTTAACTAATTGTAGGGCCTTGAGATATGCTACCAATCTGAAATTCTGAATTACAACTGAACACATAAAGGATAATGTTACATATATCAAGTTGGTTATTATTTTGGATTTAACTTGTTTGATTGCTGAATGTAAAGTTCTATATTTAATTATTTATTGATAAGTTTTTATCACATAAGTTTATATTTAATGTTGGTATTGGCATTAGACAAAATTGAGATTATAATATTATGTACATATGGGGCATTTGGTTCAGGGAATGTTGGATTACTGTAATCTTATATTACTTTGAAGATTACTGGGAATCTTTAGGAAAATGTGTTTGGTTGGTTGGTGGGTATGTTATATTAATATGTTTGGTTAGGGGGAATAAATTGGTGGGTATATTATTTAAATTACTAAATTGTCCCCTTTTTAAATATTAATATAGTATTATTTTTATTATTAATTTTT